ATCTCCTCATGCATCTATGGGCATCGACGGTCTCCAGTGGACATGAGCATGTGCATGAAGCACTGGACACCGCTGCCTAGTTCAGATCAACCGTGCTGCTCTCAGCAATTGGCTGCAAACAGCACGGCGCCAAAAAGGCACGGCTCCGCGAGGTCAGACAAGCATCGATGTGTCTGGTATGGTCCAAGTTCGCTTGCGCTGTTCTCAGTCCTTGGCTTCAAAAGTCCTTCAAAGACCTAACTCCGCGCACGAAACACCAGCAAAAAAACGCATGCTTTGCACACGTGCGGTAGGGGCTAAACGCCTCCGCTTCGTTACCGCGCGCCATGCGCATAGATAGACTGGCACGAAAGTCTGGCTTGAGTCATGAAGATGACTGGTAGCCTGCGGTTAAAATACTGCGCTTGCCAGGGCACGTACTTTACACTTGGTGCTTACTTGCGCGCATGCGAGGAAGCAGTGTGCTCTCACTGCATCCAGCGTTCATCCCAGACAGAGCGACGGTCGGAGCCGAATGCATCCTCGCCAAGTGTCAGACGCTTGGACGGATCAAACTCCAAGAGGCCCACAAGCAAGACCCTCAATTCGGGAGATATGACCTCGCTCATTGATTGCTTACTTGTGAGGAGCTTCCGTTTTTTCAAGAACGCCGCTAAGCCCTTTGCTTTCACGTATTCGAAGCACTTGTCGGCCCCCGATGTCGAGAGCCAAGGGTAATCCATCAAGCACATAGCGTACAGCACGACGCCCACGGAGAAGGCATCGGAAAGAAAGCCGTCCCGAATACACTCGTCGCCGAACATCTCTGGAGCCTGGTAGCTCGGCTTGCCCGTGGCGCGCTTTGACACGAAGCGCTCAGTGGTCGCAGCCCCGAAGTCGATGAGCCGGGCCCGCGTAGAGCCAGAATCCTCGCGCGAGCTGAGAAGCACGTTCTCCATGGAGAGGTCGCCATGGACGATGGACATGTTGTGCAAGCACTGGACGCCGTGCATGATCTGTCTGACCAAGGGCTTGACGCGTGCCTCGCGCTCGGGACCGGGCTGCTCCTTCAGCTCGGCGGCCCACTGGAAGAGGTCGCCCCCGTTGGCGAACTCCGTGACGACGCTCGTCGTCTGCGAGTCGCGGAAGACTCCAAGAAACTGCATGCAGTAGGGGTAGCCGACGCTGTTGAGGAAACAGTTGCAGCCGATGTCACTCCACGGCTGCTCCGTCTCGTGCGGGTGCCACTCCTCGAAGCCCCGGTGCGAGTCCTGGATCCAGGCGTTGGGCATGCGCTTCACGGCCACGAGACGCCCCTCGCGGGGCCGCCACGACATCCCGGCGCCGCTGGCTCCCAGGACCTCCTCTGGGCTGCGCTCCGACAGCGATGCCAGAGCGGATCCAGCCGTGGCGACGAGGGCCCCCCCGGAGGCCCCCCCAAGGGCGAGGACGAGGGCAGGGCAACAGTATCCGTGCAGCCAGCGCGCACAAACGAGGACGCGCGAGGAGGATGCAGAGGCCTCGGAAGGCCACGGCGGCGCTCTCCGAGCGGGGCGCGGCCAGCGCAAGTGGCCGAGGAGGGGCCGAAGGGGCACGGATGCAGGGGTGACCTTGGAAACTTGCCCATCCCTGCTGTGCGCTTCGCCTGTGTGCAAACCGTCAGATCTGGAACAGCACTTGCCCATCCCTACTGTGCGCTTCGCCGGTGTGCAAACCATCAGATCTGGAACAGCAGAACATCCCGGAGACCGTCGGGCGGCCAGAACACACAGACCGGCCACGGTGTCCTCCCCAGGATGCACAAGAACATCCAACAAAGAGGAAGAATAGGGGAACGAACAATGACATAGAAATAACAACTTGGAGGTCCGCGCGGATTTCTCGGGTCGGCGCTGGGGCCCCCTGGCGGCGCCTCCGGCGACGCCCCTGGCGCGCTCCGCGCGCCAAGTTGGGGGGTCCAGCGTGGATCCGAGAAATCCGCGCGGATCTCCCAGCTTCCATGATTCCCCATCTCCTAAGATGGGGTTCTTGATAGTTCTTGGAACCCGCCGGCTCCAGAGAACAAGAACACACCCAGAACACAGACTTACTCATGCACAGACTTACTCATACTCAGGCTTACTCATACCCAGACGTACTCATACACAGACTCATTCATACCCAGACTTACTCGTACACAGACGTACTCATACACAGACTTACTCATACTCAGACTTACTCATACGCAGACCTACTACTGATACTCAGACTTACTCATACCCAGACGTACACATACGCATTTTATGCATATACAGACTTACTCATACTCAGACTTACTCATACACAGACGTACTCATACAAAGACTTACTCATACTCAGACCTACACATACTCAGACCTTCTCAGAGTCTGAGTTACTCAACACACGGAAGATTTTGAGGATGTCTCAGGCGGGGCGCTGGCTTCAGCACCCCTAAGGGTGGCCGCCAGGGGGTATATCACGGGCCCGTTCGCGGCAAGTTTGCGGAGGTGTCTCAGGCGGATTGCCTGTTTCTGTGCCCAACATCGTCTGCGTGTACAGCAGATTTGGAGGATGTCACAGTCGGGGCGCTGGTTCCAGCACTCCTGAGGGGAGCCGCCAGGGGGTATATCACGGGCCCGTTCGAGGCCAGTTTGTGGGGATGTCTCAAGCGGTTTGCCTGTTTCGGTGCCCAACGTCGTCTGCGTCTACAGCAGATTTGGAGGATGTCTCCGTCGGGGCGCTGGTTTCAGCACTCCTGAGGGGAGCCGCCATGGGGTATATCACGGGCCCGTTCTCGGCCAGTTTGTGGGGATGTCTCAGGCGGTTTGCTCGTTGTCATGCCCAACATCCTTGGCTTTCAGAGCAGATTTGGAGGATGTCTCCGTCGGGGCGCTGGTTTCAGCACCCCTAAGGGGAGCCGCCAGGGGTGGTTTCTCGGGCCCGTTCGCGGCCAGTTTGTGGGGATGTCTCAAGCGGTTTGCTTATTTTCATGCCCAACATCCTTGGCTTTCAGAGCAGATTTTGAGGATGTCTGAGGCGGGGCGCTAGTTTCGGCACCCCTAGAAGGAGCCGCCAGGGGGTCGGACACGGGCCCGTTCGCGGCCAGTTTGTGGGGATGTCTCAAGCGGTTTGCCCGGTTTCATGCCCAACAAGGATCCCTAAGGAGAGCCGCCAGGGGGTAGGACACGGGCCCGTTCGCGGCCATTTTGCGGGGATGTCTCAGGCGGTTTGCTCGTCAGTGCGCTCATGAACAGACGCTCTCTACGGCATGACATAAAACATGAGATGCACATATGGGGAGCTCGACGCAGTGAGTAATTTTGTCATTCTTCGTTCCCCCAAAGAACACTATGGGTACCCTCCCCGGCCTGACCTCGAGCTCACACCTCGGTCCGACTGCATTCTCTCCGGATGGCCCCGCAGGAAGCGGGCCCAGGCGCAGATGTGTCCTGGGCCCCGCGGTTCCCCCGTGACGCTGGCTTCTCATCCGAAGTCGCTTCGTTGACGGCCCGGGGGCCTCCTCCTCCTCCTCCTTCTCCACGTCCTCCTCCTCCTCCTCCTCCTCCTCCTCCTCCTCCTCCTCATCATCATCATCATCATCATCATCATCATCATCATCATCATCAGCATCAGCATCAGCATCAGCATCAGCATCATCAATCACCATCAGCATCATCATCATTCTTATCATCATCCTCATCATCATCCTCATCATCATCAGCATCATCATCATCATCATCCTCATCATCAGCAGCAGCAGCATCATCATCCTTCTCGTCCTCCTCCCAATGCACGCAGGGGCCAGCCGAGATCAGCAGCGTCAGCAGCTGCGGTGCTGAGAGCGGCCCGTGCGGCGAGAACGCGCGAGCCAGCGTCACCCGCAACATTGCCGGGGGCAGTTCGGAAAGCCAGGCAGTGGCAGCAGGGACTTCCAACGCGAAGAGGCGAGAAAGCAGCCACGCAGGAGCAAGAGCCTCAGCTACACTGCAGCGGGAGCCAGCTCGTGCGAGAAGGCTGGCAACGGCAGCAGGGTCAGTGGGTGCGAGAAGCCGGGCAATGGCAGGAAAGGCTGCCGGTGCCAAGTGGCCAGCAGGAGCAACATCTTCAGCTACATTGCAGCGGGGGCCAACTTGTGCGACAAGGCACGCGTTGGCAACAGGTGTCAGTCGGTGCGAGAAGGTAGGCAGTGGCAGCAGCGGTTGCCAGTGCCAAGCGGTCAACAGGAGCAACATTTTCAGCTACATTGCAGCGGGGATCAGGTCGTGCGAGAAGGCAGGCAGTGGCAGCGTGGTCTGTCGGTGCGGGGAGGCGGGCGGTGTCCGCAGCGGTCGTCGGTGCCAGTGGCCACTAGGAGCAGGAGCGCCAGCTGCTTTGCAGCGAAGGCCTGCTCGTGCGAGAAGGCAGCCAGTGGCCGGGGGGGGGGCGGTCAGTGCGAGAGAAGGCAGGCAGTGCAAGCAACAGCTGTCAGCGCCAAATAGCGATGCAAGAGCACTTTTCGGGCGTTGGCAGAATTGGGTTCAGTGGGACCTGGTTTAGTGATTTGTACTGGGGGACGCCCCCCTCGCCAATTCCACTAACCGGAACTGCTGTCACCCGAAAAAACACCAGCTGCGGCAAACCTGGTTTAGTGACTCTGGCCAATTTAGAAGCTCCAGGGCCCCACTACTGACCGGGTCCCCTTACCTGGGGTCCTGGCTCTACCCGAACTTTGTCAGCTACAAAAAGCTGCTGGGGTCGGCTCGTGCGAGAGAAAGCAGCGGCAGACAGGGGCGGTGCGAGAGAAGGCGGGCAGCGGCAAGCTGCGGTCGTCGGTGCCAGCCGGCGCAGGGAGGAACATCTCTGGAGGGGCCCTGGGACATACAAATAAAGACACACACACACACAAGTAACAGGATTCCCCATATTTTCCCATGTTTTTGTCTGGGTTTTTGTCTTCCCCCCCACTTCCCATATGTTCCCATATTTTCCTGGAGATCGACGATTAATTGTGTCTGTGTGTTGTTTGTCCTCCTGAATCTCAGCAGTTACAGTGCTGCTGGGGTCGGCTCGTGCGAGAAGGACAGGCAGTGGCGGCGGGAGCTGGCAGTGGCAGCGAGATTGGCACTGCGCCCAGCTTAGCTGCCCCGATACACAACACGCAACACGTACCGCATCGATACCGAACTCAACACGTAGGCTGAAAACGTAGGTCCGACGCGATACATTCGCCAAAACGTGGTCCAATACGTGGAACCAACACGCAACGTATTGACACGGGCGTCTTGAACACGGGACGTGTTGCGTTTCAATACGCGCGTGTCGAAGCCACTACGGCGCCCAGAAGCAAGTGCACGTGCAGGCGCCATCGGCTACAACGCTTGGGGCCAGCTCGTGCGAAGAAGGTAGCGGGCGACGGCTCGCGCCGGGGCGCTCAGCAGGCCACTGCAGAGGGCGGTGCTGCCGAAGGACGTGGCTCGACAGACGTGCCGACAACCTGGCAGTGCCCATCCCCCCCCCCCCTCGTCGCTCCTCGTCGCCACGGCTAGGCCCTCGCCGCCGCGTGAGAGAAGCGGCATGGGGGAGAGATAGCTGCACTGCGCATCATCAGCTACACTGTCTGAGCAAATCCGAACCCTTGTTGCCCAGGAAAGGCCTGGCGCACGGGAAGTTCTCATCGCTGCCACTCGGTGTGTATCGCCGCTTTGAAGGTCAGGCCAGCAGAATCCAGCAGAATCCCCCTCCTCCCCCTCCTCCTCCTCCTCCTCCTCCTTGTCCTCCCTCCCTCCCTCCTTCCCTCCCTCCCACCGCCCCCCCCATGGAAGAAGGAAAAAGCTGTACGTGCACACCTTCGAACAGATATGTTCGTGCACATTCTTCCTATCGGAAGCTAGGGCCTCAAACCGAGTAAAAGACCGAGGAGCCCTTGCCCTCAGGACCCCCTTCCATTCTTGGCGGTACGACCTCGGGTATGGTCTTCATGAGGCACACGCTGCCATGGTTGCGGTTCGCATCCTCCCGGGGGTGCGCCGAAGAGGGGGGTCAGCAAGAAGAGGGTCAGGGCAACTCAGGGGGGTCAGCAAGAGGAGGGTTACACCCTGCGAAATGCTGAAGAAACCATGGGTTAAGAAATTCATAGTCTCAGCATTTGAATAAGAACCATTCATTTCTATTATAGTTTTAGGTTTCACATTGAAACAGTAAGAAGAAGCGAGACCCTGGCCGAAACCTTACGTTTTCTTCAGCATCGCCCAGGGTGTAGGGCAACGGGGCCCGAGGCACGTGCGGGGACGACGTGGTGACCGGGGGGGCGTGCGGCAAGCGGCGCCTCGTGACTCTCGGGGCATAGCTCGGGACTCCGGCGGCCGTTCTCGGGGCGATCCGGGCCCCCGGAAGGCTCTCGACGAGGCGCAGCTGCTGGAGAGCACCCCGAGGCGAGGCCACCCCCCAGAACCTAAACAGAGACCTCCTCCAAAAGCCAGCGAAAGCCTCCCCGACGCCCCCGAGAAGAGGAGGAAGTAGGAGCGAGTCCTCACCGCCCGTCCTCCAGCACTTTTTTGTTTTTTTGTTGATCCGCGGGTCGAGAGCGCACCTCTTCCAGTCGAAGCTAAGCGGGCCGCGCGAAGCTTGAATTAGGCGGAGGGAAGGGAGGAGAAAGCGGCGGGGCCTCAGGGCGAGGCCGAGGGGAGGCAAAGCCCCAGAGACAGGAGGACCCGTCCTCCAGCACACCCAAGCATGAACTACGAATCGTGGAAGGCCTCACCCGAACCACTGGCAGCGGGGCGCGTCGATTCTGCCATGGAGGCGGGAGGCCGTCGCTGACCCGTGCGCCCTGCTGCATGTTCGCACCTCCTCGATGTTCGACCCCGACTCCTTCGTCCCGCCGCGACGTCCGCATGCTTCGATGCTGGCCCCCCGTTCGCTCGCGCGCGTGCCGCTCGCAGCACGAGCGACGTGAGGAAGGAGACCGCGAAGCAGGTCGGCGGCCCCGATCGAGAGAGTGGTGAGGGCCGGTGCTGCACCGTGCAGCTTCGTGCCGCCCAGGCCGAGGCAGCGGCCCAGAAGCACCGTCGCAGCACCCTGTCGGCTGGGACGTCAGCTGCACGCGACGTCTGGCCGTCGTCAGCCACCTCGATGCTCCATGCCCCCGATCCGTCGTGGACGAGGTGGCGCGCGGGCCACAGTGTCCCAAACATCCGACGCCGCTAATTTCCCCAGGACAAGAGTCTCACCGCCAGAGGCCCAGCGAGGGCCCTCAGAGGGCAGAAGCTGCCAACACCCGTCCGTCGTCTGTTTGCTTGACAGCGCGAGGGTCCTCGGTCTTCCCAAACGTGCGAATTCGATGCGTGTAAGTCAAGTGCGTGCCAGGTCAACCGGCGCGTGCAAGTTAAGTGCGTGCCAGTTCACCAGGTGAGAGTCAAGTGCGTGTTAGTGAAGCTGCGTGTGAGTAATGAAGTCCGTGCGAGCGCAGTACGTGCGAGTGAAATGCGTGTGAGTTGATCGCGTGCGAGTTAAGTGCGTGCGACTTGGAGGAAGGGGAGGAGGGGGAGGAGGGGGAGGAGGAGGAGGAGGAAGAGGAGGAGGCGGAGGAGGAGGAGGAGGAGGGCGAGGAGGACCAGTGAAACCCAACACTCATTAACTATGTTGGGATACACCCTCCCTCCAAGCTCCCTCTTCAGAAGCCCCATTCACTTCCACTGGGTGACGTGCCCCGCTGGGGGACAACCGTGTGGAAATCCTGAAGCAAGCCAAAACACCTTTCTTTGGACTTCAAAGCCACGAGTCAATCTGACTGTTGAGTGTTGACAATCGTGAATCGTGCCAAAGCGTCATTCCTGGGACTTCAACACCTCGAACCAACGTAATTGTTGCGACTGGCAATCCTGAATCATTCAAAGAAAACAATACTTCTGCAAGTTCAACCGTGAAGACCAGAGAAGCTCTTCAAACTGTTACAACGAATGTGCGCCCCGCTACGGCGAGAACCACACTTTTAAGAAGCCACAAACCATCCGTGAAACTCTTGCAATACACGAATGTGCGCGGCGCTAATGCGAGAGCCACACTCTGAAAGCGACCCGCCCTGAATCCGTGAAACTCTTGAACCCGTTTAAAAAGAATGCGCAAGGCGCTACAGCGAGAACTAAATGTTGAAAACGGCCTCCCCTCAATCCGTGATAATCCTGCGTCATTCTAAACCGAATGTGCGCGGCGCTAAAGCGGGAGACACATGTTCAGAACGACCTGCCCTCAATCCGTGAAAGTCTTGTAAAGTCCTTAAACAATGTGAGAGGCGCTAAGCGAGAGCCACATTTGAAAACCAACCCGCCCTCCATTTGTGAAACTGTTACCATGCCCTCAGCTTCAGGCTCGTAAGCGGTAAGGACGTCTCAGGCGAAACGCATGGCCCGCCCTTCCGACCAGCCTCGCGGTGCGACAGGGAAGAGTCATCCATAAAGAACAAATGGAGGAGGAGGAGGAGGAGGAGGAGGAGGCGGAGGAGCAGGGAGGGAGGGAGGGAGAGAGTGAGCGAAAGAGGGGAAGGGAGGGGGGGATAGTGGAAGGGAGGGAGTAGGGGGAGGGAGGGGGAGGAGGGGGACGGAAAGGAGTGGGAGGGGAGAGGGGGAGGAGGAGGAGGAGGGAGGAGGAGGAGGAGGAGGAGGAGGAGGAGGAGAGGAAGAGGAGGAGGAGGAGGAGGAGGAGGAGGAGGAGGAGGAGGAGGAGGAGGAGGAGAGGAGGAGGAGGAGGAGGGGAGGAGGAGGAGGAGGAGGAGGAGGAGGAGGAGGAGAGGAGGAGCAGGGAGAGGAGGAGGAGGAGGAGGAGAGAGGAGGAGGAGGAGGAGGAGGAGGAGGAGGAGGGAAGAGGAGAGGGGCTTGCCGATCCTCTATCTTCCCCAGCGTCTCGAAGAGGTCCGCCGACCAGGGCTGCACGCTCGCCGCGTCGAAGCCCTCGTGGAGGGCCGCGGGGGCCACGCGCGGCTGCCGCCCGGAGCCCACGCTGCTCTGCGTGGTGTTGCGGGCCCAGGAGCTCTCGTCCACGTCGGCGTCGTCGATGCCGTTCGTCGTCGCGGTGGACGTGTCCGACACCTCGGCAGCGAGAGGAGGGGAGGAGGAGGAGGAGGAGGAGGAGGAGGAGAGGGAGGAGGAGGAGGAGGAGGAGGAGGAGGAGGAGGAGGAGGAGGAGGAGGAGGAGGAGGAGGAGGAGGAGGAGGAGGAGGAGGAGGAGAGAGAGAGGAGGAGGAGGAGGAGGAGGAGGAGGAGGAGGAGGAGGAGGAGGAGGAGGAGGAGGAGGAGGAGGAGGAGTCTCGCGCGAGAGATGGCACAGCAGCCCTACGCGGTGGCTGGCGCGGGTCGCCAGCGCGGGAGAGCCCGCACCGGAGGCGAGGGCGCTCACGAGGGGGCGGCCAAGAGGGGGTGTCCAAGAGACGGGGGTGCAAATCATGGCCGGGGGCATGTGCGCGGCCCGGGGGGGGGGGGGCCAGGAACGCAACGAAATAAGAATAGGGGACATGAGATCTGGAGAGACATCATGGCCCCGCCCTGAAATTCCCCCCCCCCCTGGTCATCACCCCCCTCTGGGCCGCCCCCGACTCGACCTCGTGCGGGCCAGCTGGCGCGCGAATGTCCGTGCAGGGGAAGCCGGTTTTTGGTGTCGCTCACCTGGGGGCGAGGCGAGGCGTGGAAGAGGCTCAAGGCTCGAGGCGCGGCGAGGCCCGCGAGGGGCCAGAGCGGGAGGGAGGGGGGGGTGGGGGAACGAGGCGGGCAGCAGGCGGCAAAAAGGGACAAGAATAGGAGAACAAGGAGGAGGAGGAGGAGGAGGAGGAGGAGGAGGAGAAGGGATAGATGAGGAGCAGCGCCAGGAGCAGCAGTCGCCGCAAGAGGGAGGAGGGAGGAGGATGGAGGGGAGGAGGGGGGGAAGAGGAGGAGGAGGAGGAGGAGGAGGAGGAGGAGGAGGAGGAGGAGGAGGAGGAGAGGGAGGAGGAGTGGGAAGGAATTCGCTGGTATCCACGTAGTGGTAAGAGGAGGAGGAGGAGAGAGGAGGAGGAAGGAGGAGGAGGAGGAGGAGGAGGAGGAGGAGGAGGAGGAGGAGGAGGAGGAGGAGGAGGAGGGGAGGGGAGGAGGAGGAGGAGGAGGGGGAGGAGGAGGAGGAGGAGGAGGAGGAGGAGGAGGAGGAGGAGGAGGAGGAGGAGGAGGAAGAGGAGGAGGACGAGAAGGAGGAGGCGTTGCAGGAAGGAGGAGGAGGAGGAGGAGGAGGAGGAGGAGGAGGAGGAGAAGTTGTAGAAGGAGATGGAGGAGGATGAGGAGGGGCCAGAGTAGAGTCCTCTCCAAGGAGATCCCTACGAGCCGTCCAATTCCACTGCAAGAAGCACTCTCCTTGAGAGACCAGCACCACATCGTCCTGCCGTTCACGGGAGCGTCCCGTTTTGTCACAGAACTGCCTTGCAACCTGCTGGCAAGAAATTCGCCGGCCCAACGGGCCAGAGGCGTGCTAAGATCTCCGGTAACTTGTTAACAATATTTCTAGTTCGCGCGCGCGGAGCGGCCCCTGGGGGCCCCCGGACGAAAAGTACCCCGGCAAGGTCCCGAGAGAAGCCCGGGAGAAGCCACCAGACCACTCCAGGGGAGGGTATTTTTCGACACCCCTCACGAGGATCGTGGCCTCCGAGGGGGGAGCCGCAATCGACTACCCCCAAGAGCCCCCCAAGAGGCCCTGGGGGCCTCCAAAACGCCGCCAAGGAGCCCCAAGAGACTCCCAAGAGGTCCCCAAGAGGCCCCCAAGAGGCCCTAAAGAGGGCTCCAGGGCCGGCGGCATGAGCGAAGCGATTAAATAAATAATGCGAGAATAAATTATTATACAGCTCAGCCGTGAGTAAGCCTCATGACCGCGGTACCCTTCTTGGGGTCCCACATTCGAGATCTGAGATGTCAGACTCCGATCCTATTGACTGGGAGCGCGGGCATCGTTGCTCGAAACTGGCGGAAAGACGGGGAAAGAAACCATACAGATGCCTCGTAGCAAGCGCAAACTCACCCTTTCTCTCTCTCTCTCTCTCTCTCTCTCTTTTTCATGATCGCAGTGAAAATAACATGTCCCGTCGCGAATTTGGTTTGCATGCTGCAGCAACCAGTGTCAAAGCTCAACAGGGGCGAAATGCTCGGGCGCAAACCTTGCACGAGCAGCATCCTCCCCAGCCGGTAACCGTGCCAGGGTGCGGAACCGGTCACAGTGGGCCACTTATAATCAATGGGGGCCCTGGAAGCACTCGGCCCCGCCGGTCTCGATCCGCTCGAGGGCCTCCCGAGCGGGAGCCTGTGGATCTCATGCCTGCCGACGGGCTCCCGGGACGAGCCCGCCGTGGCGCCCAGGCCCGGCGGCGCGGCACGTGGACGCGCCGGCGCGTGGACCACAGCTGCAAGCCGCGGGGCGTTGCCCGCGCGCTGCCCCGGCGGCCGAGGGCCTACAGTCGGGGCCTTGACCTAAGGAACCCTAAATAAGGAACGAGGCCCCTTTTTTCCATAAGTCGAACTTCGGTTTCCCATCGAAAACCAAAGGAAAACCTCAGGCAAACTGTTGAACAATCAAGGAACGCCGAGCCCCTCCCCAACGAAAAGGGTTCCTTCTTCAAGACCCCTACTGTACGCAGGGGCGCACCGCGAGCCTGGCCGCGAGCCCCGGCAGGCCCTCCAGGCGACCTTCGGGCCCAATTCGGCCTCCCTCGCCGGAGCCTCAAGTGCAGGGGAACGAGCAATGACATCAACGTGAAAACCCGGAGGTCCGAGGGGATTTCTCGCACCGGCGCTGGACCCCAGGTCGGGGAGGGTACCCATCTAGTGTCCTTTGGGGGAACGAGGAATGACAAAAACTTACAAACTGGGAGGTCCGCGCGGATTTCTCGGATCGGCGCTGGACCCCCCCCCCCTCCCTGGCGCGCGGAGCGCGCCAGGGGCCAGGGGGCGGCGCCGGAGGCGCCGCCACGGCGGCCCAGCGCCGCTCCGAGAACTCCGCGCGGACCTCAGAGTTTCTATGTTTATGTCGTGCGTCGTTCCCCTATCAAACACCAGCACCTTCGCTCCGAAGCCTCCCAGTTTCGCCGTCGCCGCCACCGTTCGGGCGTTGGCAGAACTGGGTTTAGTGGAACCTGGCTTAGTGACGTGTACTGGGAGGCGCCCCCCCGCCCCGTTCCGCTCACCCGGAACTGCCGCCACCCCGAAAAAAAGAACCAGGCACGGCAGACCTGGCTCAGTGACTCTGGCCACTCCAGGGGCTCTGGGGCTCACTTCGCTCGGGAGAGCTCCCGAGCGAAGTGAACCCCAGTGAACCCCGGGCGAAGAGGGGGGGGAGTAGGGTAGGGCTCGCACGTGGCCCCCGGGCCAGAGGCACCGGCCCGACCTCCACCTGCGGGGCCCCGAGCGGGCACGGGGCGCCGATCGGGAGCACGGGCGCCCCTCGCCGCCCCGCGGGCCCCGCAGGCCCCAGACCCCCGGCGGCAGGAGCGTTTCAAAGGCGTCGACCCTCAGGAGTCTCGACCCGCTCCCCGGGACCGGCTTTGCTCATCTGAAGGGGCCCCATGGGGCACGCACATAGATTCACACACACACACACACAAATAACAGGAGTCCCCATCTTTTCCCACATGTTCTGGGCTTCTGTCTTCCCCCCCACTTCCCATGCTTCCCCATGTTTCCTGGGGGAATCGACGACTGGTTGTGTCTGTGTGTTTTTTTATCCCTCCTGATCATCCCGAGGTCCCGAGGGCCGGCGAGGGCCTCTGGAGGCCGCAGAGATGGGAAAAGAAACCTCCCGTCGTGATCTGCTCATGACTCGAGGGGGCCTGGGCCCCGCGCCGCCCTCGCAGCCCCCCCCCAGCCAGGGGCCCCCCAGGAGGCCGTGCCCGTCTCGGGGGGACGGCGCCCCCAAACGGGGCTCGGCCGGGCCATTCGAGAGGCTCCAGGGGCACGGCGGGAGCCCGGAGGGGGGGCACCTGCGGACGGAGGCCCCCGAGGCCTCGTCCTCGCTGTCCTCCTGCTCCCCCCCCCCCCCGCCTCCCTGGAATGAGATGGGCCGGCGCTCAGGGGCAACGCGGAGGAGGAGGAGGAGGAGGAGGAGGGGAGGAGGAGGAGGAGGAGGAGGAGGAGGAGGAGGAGGAGGAGAGGAGGAGGAGGAGGAGAGGAGGAGGAGGAGGAGGAGGAGGAGGAGGAGGAGGAGGGAAAGGGGGAGGAGGAAAGGAGGAGGAGGGAGGAGGAGGAGGAGGAGGAGGAGGAGGAGGAGGAGGAGGAGGAGGAGGAGGAGAGGCGGAGGAGGAGGAGGAGGAGGAGGAGGAGGAGGAGGAGGAGGAGGAGGAGGAGGAGGAGCGACGAGGAGGAGGAGGAGGAGGCGAAGGAGGAGGAGGAGGAGGAGGCGGAGGAGGCGGAGGAGGAGGAGGAGGGGGAGGGGAGGGGAGGGGGGGAGGGGGAGGAGGAGGAGGAGGAGGAGGAGGAGGAGGAGGAGGAGGAGGAGGAGGAGGAGCGACGCTCTCGAGGGGGGAGGGAGGAGGGTCGGGCTATGGGGCCTCGAGGCCACCCGGCCGCGCGGCCTCGGCCATCGGGCAGCACGCCTCCGCAGAAGCCGGGGCCTCCCTGCTGCGCCTCTGTGCGGAGCTCCGCCCCAGGAAGAGCCAAGCGCTCAGGACCCAGACGTACACCCTGCGAAATGCTTCAGAAATCATGGGTTCAGAAATTCATAGTCTCCGAATTTGAAGAACAAAACAACTTTCTACTAAAAGGTTAGGTTTTCCATTGAAACAATAAGAATAATCGAGACTCTGGCCGAAAACATAAGTTTCCTTAAGCATCGCCTAAGGTGTAAGACCGTGGCTCGGGACGGCGCGCCCTCCGGCACGGAAGCCGGCCCTTTTGGGGCCGGAATGGGTCGGCCGGCCGGGGCCCCATGGCGCCGATCCGAGAAGTCCGCGCGGACCTCCGAGTTGCTTTGTGAATGTCCTTGTTCGTTCCCCTATCTGCAGAGCCCCCCGGTGGCGCCAAACGACCTGCTGGGGCAGGTCGTGCAGACGCCTGCCAGCCTTCGCCGCTGCGACGGGCCTGGTCGTAGCCCATCCTCCCACAGGAGACCTCGGTCCGGTGGGCTGTCGGGCGCGTGACACGAACGGGCGGGCCTTCGCCGTCAGCAGCCTGCACACCGCGGTGCTCGCCGAGGTAACGCCAGAGCTCCCCCCACAGAGGTCGACACTCCTCAGGACGAGGTCCCTTACACCGACGACGGCCCTTCAGGCCAGCCACGCGAGGGGCGAGCGGTCGGCGCAGGCGTGGAAGGGGCGCCGACGCCGCCCGCCAGGACCTGGAGCGACCCGCGCGCGGCTCCGCTCGAGGCGACGTCCGACGGAGGCCAGGCAGCGGTCCGAAGGCGGAGCCCCGAGCACGATCGCCGCACGCGGCAGCGAGGCCCCGCCCGTCCCGCGCCGCCGCGTCCCGACGCGGGAGTCGCACGCAGGAGCCGTCCGAGAAGAGCGCGCCCCTGGTGCCAGGAGGAGGCGAGCGATATCGTGGTGCCAGGCGCCCGAGCCATCCCGATGGTGGCAGAGCTGGCAAGGACGAGACCGATGTTGCATCACAGCAGCAATTCGGCCCCTGACTTTCGTCCTGGGCTCGGTTTAGTGAAGTGATGATTTTCGGGGTCCTTACGTGGGAAAAAAACATCACTTCACTAATCTGGGGCCCCTGGGGCCTCAGTGGGCCCTGGGGCCCAAAATTAGTGAAGTGATGGTTTTCGGGCCTCGGATGGCAAGGACGAGCTCAGGCACAAAGCTCTGAAATACAGGAGGTCGCCAGGCACCGTCTGACAAGCCGCCTGCGGGGCGTCATCGTCAGCGGCATGCTCGCGAAGATCATCCAGCTGAGGGCAACACCGACAACGAGGACGAAGCGTGCCAGAAGTGTGCCAGCAGCGCAAGCAGTACAGTGGCAGCCCATGCCAAGAAACACTCCGCCTGCCTCCAGGGTGCCCTGGGTTTTTTGGGGGCTTCGGTCGCTTTGCGATGGAACGCGTGACGATCCCACACCAAACATCAATGGACGTCCTGGGGTCTCAGGGCTGGGGTTTCTCGTGGAAGGTTTCTTGTGTGACGAACCAACAACACACACCCATACCCATAGAGGGGTCGGAGAGGGCTATGGGTGCGTGTTGTCGGATGAGGGTCCCCGCTCGAACGGGAGCGTTCCCCGGGGTCCGACAACCCGCACCCAGACCCATAGCCACTCCTCCTCCCAACGACCCCCCTATGGGTATGGAAGTGCGTGTTGCTCGTTCGTCACTGTGGTCGAGCTGCCACTGTACGGGTGGTCTGGCACGTTCGAACTGGCGGAGGCGTTGCTGCAAAACATGTTTGATCCGCGGGTCGAGAGCGCACCTCTTCCGGTCGAAGCTAAGCGGGCCGCGCGAAGCTCGAACACCGCTGCTGCGAAACGTGCGCGTCGACGCGGGCACCGCCCGAGGAGCAGCTCGCGGGCCAGCGGGTCCAGCGCGCCGCGCTCGGCGCGCCGCGCCTGCCGGCAGGATGCCACGTGGCGGAGCCAACAATGCTGTGGCCAAGACTCGGGTCTTGAATTTGGCGGGTCTTGAATTTGGCTCGTTCTTAGTAGAATTGGAGAGGTAGTTGTATGAGTTTGGAGGCCTCTGGGGAGGAGTTTGCTGCAGGAGAAGAACTTCAAACTGAGCTGCTCGTGACTTCGGAAGCTGGGCGAGGGCTGGCAAATCCGGGGCTGCCAAAGCGCCTTCCCCGGAAGAACTAAAAGCAACTTCCCGGAGTAAAAAGCTCAGCGCACTGAATATATGAACCAGGCTGCAGAAGAAAAAACAGTGTCCAGGAGCTTCGTTTTAGCAGCCACGGGTTTGCCAGCCTTCGCCCGGCTTCTGAAACAAGACGCCAGCGGGGTCGTTGTGCGAGGGACCAGGGGTCTCTCGGCTATACGCAAGAGTGACCCTGGGCAAGAGTGACCTTGTGCGCGCGGCTTGGGGGGGGGGCCGCGGGGAGGCCAAATCCAGGCGCGCCAGACGCTGGTACCGCTTCGCGGTCAGCCATCTGGGGGCCCATCTGTGCCCGCACCGAAGGTCACTGCTGCGGCAGGTCACTCTTGCATCTGGTCGACTTCACGCGAAAGGGCCGAGGAGCAGGGGCCCGTCCGAGGTGCGCAAGGGACACGGCCAGAGCCCCCGCGGGGGCCAACCGCGAGCTCTCGGCTGCGGTCGGCAGGAGGAGGAGGAGGAGGAGGAGGAGGAGGAGGAGGGCAAGGAGGGGGAGGAGGGGGAGGAGTAGAGGAGGGAGGAGGAGGAGGAGGAGGAGGAGGAGGAGGAGGAGGAGGCGGAGGAGGAGGAGGAGGAGGAGGAGGAGGAGGAGGAGGAGGAGGAGGAGGGCGGAGGAGGAGGGGGCGGAGGAGGGCGGAGGAGGAGGAGGAGGAGGAGGAGGAGGGAGGAGAACGAGGCGGAGGAGGGAGGAGGAGGGCGGAGGAGGAGGGCGGAGGAGGAGGAGGAGGAGGAGGAGGAGGAGGAGGAGGAGGAGGAGGAGGAGGAGGGAGGAGGAGGGAGGAGGAGAACGAGGAGGAGCCTTCCCTGAGCAGCCGCCGCAACAGGTGACGGCGGGCGGCGGCTCCCCGAGGCCCCGCCCCCCGCCTGACGGGGCCCCGGGACGCACAAAGGAAGGCACACGACCAGCAGGATTCCCTATACAAGTTCGCACATCTTCTGGGCTGTTGTCTCCCCCCCCACTTCCCCTAGTGGCCCATATTCTCTGGGGAGCCGACGAGGACTTGTGCCTGTGTGTGTGTGTGTTTGTTTCCCTCCTGGCTTCCGCATGATCTCGTGGGGCACCTCATCGGATGTGCTTGCTCGTGCGTCCGCGTAGCGGTCCGTACCTGGAGGGGGGGCCGGGGCCCCGGGGTGGCAGTAACGCTTGGGCGGGGTAGGGCACGTCGGGAACGGGGTTGCGCTGCGATCGCCATCGTACGCGCGCCAACACCATGCCTGCGAGCGCAAGAGGGGCCTGCGATTCGACCACCTGCTCAAAGCCTGATAGCACCAGCAGGGCACCTGCGAGCACCGGCTGTGTAGGGGGGGGGGGGTCCAGGGGCCCCCCCCAAAACACGTGCCATCGTTAGCGTTGCCCAGGAGGGGGAGGGGGGTGGAAGCGGCCGTTACGCGTCAGATGGCCCCAAACAGTCTCTTGCCATGCAGCATGCAGGAAGACAAATCGTAGAGAGGCCCGACGGCTGCGACACCTGCCTTGTGCTGCTCGGGCGCGGGGGGCCCAGCTGCGAGGCGATCCAGAGAGAGGGAGCTCCCGCGCAGAATCAGAGGCCCAGCCCGGCTTCACGAGCGCCGTCGGGCGCGCCGGCAGCACCGGCGAGGCACCCGGGCTGCCTGCCCGGGCCACAAGTCATGGCAGGCCCCACGGAGGCACGAGCCACCTCCCTGGACTTGACGCACAGGGCGGCCAGCCTCTCGAAGAGGCGGGTGCGCTCCCGCACGGCCTTCCGCCGTCGTTGGAGGACGGGGC